TTCACAGCTGATTTGTAAGGTATTGTAGTATTCTAACCATAATAGCTAGTCAAGTGAACAATGCATTGAATTCCACTGTTTCGGGAGAAGCATATGTTTTGTTTGTTATACTGGTGTGCTGAATTCCTTAAGGGACAGTTCAACAAATCAAAATCAAAGAATCATAATTTACTTAACCTCATGTCATTCCAAACCTGACTTCTTTTCTGTGTAACACAAAAGGAGATATTTTGAAGAATGTTGGTAACCAGTTTCAGTTCCCATTGGATTTTTTTGTCCATATAATGAAAGTCCAAGCAAGACTTGTCCAACCTTGGGAACCAAGACCATGTCTTGAATATTGGGGGAGACCTTTTTATTAAAAATAAACTAAAAATAGAACCGTGAAGGAAATTCTAAGTCTAATTCTAGTTGGCAATTTGGAAAATGTTTGAATTTTTAGCTAATAATATTTTAAAGGGGATATCGGATGCCCATTTTCCACAAGTCAAGTCAAGTCACCTTTATTTATATAGCACTTTTAACAATACAGATTGTGTCAAAGCAGCTGTACAGCATAAATTAGCAAAATAGTGTGTCATTAATGGAAAATTACAATGGTAAACACTCAATTTTCAGTTAAAAGTTGGTATGATTCTCAATTCCAGTCCTGGGGGCCCCCTGCTCTGCACATTTTGCATGTCTCTCTTATTTAACACACCTGATTGAGATCATCAGCTCGTTAGGAGAGAGATCTATGAACTGAACTAACGAGCTGATGATCTCAATCAGGAATGAGTTAAATATGGGAGACATGCAAAATGTGCAGAGCAGAGAGCCCCCAGGACTGGAATTGAGAACCACTTTAGGGTCTTCATGAAATGTCCTCAATGTTCGTATAATGGTCTTAGGTGTCAGGATGGCCGAGCGGTCTAAGGTGCTGCGTTCAGGTTGCAGTCTACCCTGGAGACGTGGGTTCGAATTCCACTTCTGACAGACCTATCCTTTGGCTGTGGACAGCAGCTACAGTCTTCAGCCCTCTGGAACGTTGACCCAGCAGGGCAGTAACTTTAGGGGCAGTTCTGGCCTAATGGATAGTGAAGTTGGACTTGCAACCCGAAGGTTGTAGGTTTGAGTCTCAGGTCCGGCAGGAACTGTTGGTGGGTGGAGTGAAAAACAAGCTCTCTCTTCCACCCTCAAAACCACGACTGAGGCACTGAACCCCCAACTGCTCTCCGGGAGCCGCAGCATTGGCTGCCCACTGCTCTGGGTGTGTGTTCACTACT